AGTGATAACCTTTGTCAACTATCCCTTCTCCTCCAAAACCGAACTCCCAAACTGTATCCTAAATTGTTTTAACTCTGCGTCGCGCCGCTAGAAAGAATGATGATTATCTCCACACTAGCCCATAAGCATGAAAACAATGATTAGTTTAATATCTGAAAACAACAACGTTGTAACGTACAGTTCAACGTCTATTATGAATGTTTTTCAAAGAAAATACTCTCTCTGTCTCGAAATTATCTTCATTCTTTCGTTTTCGATCCGTCCCAAATTTATCTCCTCTTTCCTTTTTTGTTAAAGAATATGTGGTTCACAACCATTCTTACACATTTTTTTCTCCTCTTTACAATTCTCCACCACATAAATTCCACTATCTTAATCCCCGTACCTAGTCAAAACCGAAGTTAATTATGGGAGGAAAGGAGTAGCGTACAAGGCAGATTACATCACGAGGGAAACCAATGATGAAGCGGTGCAAATTTGAGTAGTGTAAAGAAATTTGAACAAATAAAAAAATATGGACATGGTACTTTTTAGGAATCATATTGATTTTTAAAAAAATTGGTGTGGGTCTCATTATTTTTTATTTCTCTTTTATTTAAAATGATAATAATTTTTTTATTTTTGATCCGATTTTTATAAAATTTGTATCAAAATTTTTTATTTTTCACGATCTTTCAAATGAGACCAATATTGCCTATGTAATTTTAACATATTATCGAATTATTATATTAACTGTTATTAAATTATAAGGAAAAACGAACGTGTATAGATATGTAACTTTACGTGCGATATAGATATTGGTTAATACTCCTAATACACGTTCAATAAATTGCCTCATTATTGATAAAAAAGGGACCCACTTTTCAAATACAGCTTCAACTAGCGGAACTTTCCAAATACTACGTTGGTGTACCGTCCTCATCGTGGGACGGTCCCACGGTAAAATTTGCGTGTAAAAATATGTAACTTTACGTGTAAAAATATGTAACTCACGTTCAGTCAGGCCAAATGCATCTCGTGTGCATAAATATGTAACTCTACGTGTAAAAATATGTAACTTTACGTGTAAAAATATGTAACTCGCGTTCAGACAGGTCAAATGCAACTTGTGTGTATAAATATGTAACTCGCGTGTATAAATATGTAACTTTACATGTAAAAATATGTAACTCCCGTTCATGCAGGTCAAATGCAACTCATGTGTATAAATATGTAACTTTACGTGTAAAAATATGTAACTTTACGTATAAAAATATGTAACTCACATGTATAAATACATAATACAATAAATTTTTTATATACACAATTTTAAGATAAATTGTGATTTACACAATTATTTTTCTGTATTAAATTTAGTTGGATTTTCCTTATAATCCAATAATCATTAATATAATAGTTCAATAATTTGTTAAACTACATAAGCAATATTAGTCTCATTTGATAGATCATAAAAAATAAAAAAATTAATACAAAATCAGATATGAAATAAAAAAGTTATTACAATTTTTAATAACAAAAGGAATAAAAAATAATGGGACCCAGTGTTATTTTTGTTACGGAGCTCGCAAAAAATAAAGATCGATATACGGTGCTCACCGTATACCGGTCATATGGTATAATTTACGGGAAAGTTAGCATCAAGTCGTTGTAGTATAGTGGTAAGTATTTCCGCCTGTCACGCGGGTGACCCGGGTTCGATCCCCGGCAACGGCGTTTTACTGTTTTTGCACTGTTATCTCTGCAGCCTATGTGTTTGTAAAATTGAATGAAAGAATGGCAGGAATATTACCATTTTGGGCTTTTGCCTTGAATAATACTAAATTAAAGTCAATTACCAAAAATGTGACCACTTTTAAAAAAAGACAAAAATGTGATTAAGAAGGTCATATTTTTGGAAAACATGGTGTCGCTGCCAAGGAGTGGAGACGTTTGTCCCCATGAGCTAGCCTCCTGCTTCCTGCCAGGATCTTGGCTTCCCACCAAGGAGTGGAGACGTTCACCCCCATGAGCTAGCCTCCGCTTCCCGCAAGGATCTTGGCTTCCTGCCATGGAGTGGAGACGTTCGTCCCCATGAGCTTGCCTCCTGCTTCCCGCCAGGATCTTGGCTTCCTGCCAAGAAGTGGAGACGTTTGTCCCCATGAGCTAGCCTCCTGCTTTCCCCCAGGATCTTGGCTTCCTGCCAAGGAGTGGAGACGTCCGTCCCCATGAGCTAGCCTCCTGCTTCCCGCCAGGATCTTGGCTTCCTTGTGAGGAGTGGAGACGTTCGTCCCCATGAGTTTGCCTCCTGCTTCCCGCCAGGATCTTGGCTTCCTGCTAAGGAGTGGAGACGTTCGTCTCCATGAGCTAGCATCGACAGGAATGGCTGGATAAATTCAGACTATTTTTGAAATTAAAAGAATAGGCATTGAATGGTTGGTTACTTTTTTGTTCAAGGAAAAAAGAGCAATATTTTTGTCCACCTAAACCACCTAAGTAATATTCCTGTCATTCTTTCTTCTTATAATCATCATCCTTCCCAATTTGAGTTGTTTTTAAGTTGTTAAACTTTTCTTTTCGCTTTTCCAAACCTTAATATTTGAACTCGTGATTCGAATAACCAATTGGCGAAGTCTAATATTCTTTTTCAATTTCCTTTTACTTTATATATATACTTTCTTTTTGTGCAAGTTATTGATATATATTATTTTTATTATTATTATAACATGATCACTTTCCTTATATGCAAAACTTATACATTCATTCCTAAATAATTAATAAAGGTATTCTTGCAATATTCTTTTTCTATATTTTATTATTTTATGTAATCTCATGAGAAAATTCTCTAAATAAAATTAAAACGTGAATGAAGTTCATAAATGTGACTGTCAAATGTTTTATTGAGAACACATTCTCTCCTATTTTGGAATGTTTTAATGAAGTCATTCTTTTAATAGAATTAAATAAATTCTATTTGAGGAATAAGTCATATTTTTAAATTTTGTGTACGTTTTTGTCTTATATTAAGCAATCTCTAAAAATGATGACCACTTCATTTAAATTTTGTGTACGTTTTGGTCACATTCATCTTGTCTTCTGCATTTTTTTAAAGTTAATATTTTTTTCTATTCCAAAACCTAAAAGGTTGAACTTGTCATTCGAATTAGGGTTGGACCGGGCCTGGCTCGGGCCGGGATCCGGACAGGATTGGGCGGGCCTGGGTATTTGGGTTGCAGGCCCGGTACCGACCAAGGTTTCTACTTGGACCGAGACGGACCAGGCCCGGGTCAGGTCGGGTTAAGGATTTTTTTTTTAAATTTGTATAAAATGAAAAAAAAAAGCAGGCACGGACCGGTCCCGGACCGGCCGGGTCGGTCCACCTATTCAGCAGCCCGAAGCCCGCCCCTCATACCCCTGGTTCGGGCCCCCAGTCTCGATCCCGCACAGCAGCGGGCCGGCCTGGGTACCGGTTCGGCCGAACTAACCCATTCCATGCCTAATTCGAATAACTAAGACTATTAAATGATGACCGCTTCAGTTCAAAATGGCTAGAAATTTGATAAATTCGGACAATTAATTGATATATAGTCTTGTTGAGATGAAGGGCCAATATTGATAGAAGATAAAATAGAAATTGCTCTAAATAGGAGCAAAAACGTTTTGAAAATCCAAAATAGGAGTGTCAATTAATAAAGTTCATTGTTTTAAATTTCATGTGACATGTATCTCATATAGTCTTTAATAAAGTTCATTCCAAAACGTTTTGAGCCATTAATAAAGTTCATGTGACATGTATCTCATATAGTCTTTTAAATTTTAATACTATCTATGCATTCCATCAATACATATGACATTCAGATTTAAAACATCCTATTTGAGCATTTGAGCCACTACGTCATCATAACTAATATACAGAAGAGCTAAAATTCACATTTAATTTTAGTAGAATACTAGCTTAATTATTCACTCTTTTTAATTGGTTGTACATTACTTGTCATATTATTTTATATTTGCAAGTATGAATGTATGATCTAATTAAAAAATACATGAATGTATTTTATAAACCTCAAAAGTATTGATTGGTTGGAATTTGGAAATGCTCTCAAGACACACTCCAGTTTAATTCTTCTAAACTTTTTTCCAACAATTAGTTCTTCATTTAGCATGTGCACGTGGCTTTGTTGATTATCACTATTCACTAATAGAAAACAAACTTATAGTGACACGTTATAGGTAAATGTCAGTGATAATTGACATAGTATTTAATTAATATAATGATGCTAATTTAAAAAAATCCTCCATATTTTAAAGTTTGCTAGACTTTTCTCTTAGGAGTATTTAAGAATTTAATGAACTCTTCCATTTTGGTAAATTCTTCCTTTAAATTTTTTTTTGTTTGCGATGATTCCTTTAAAAATATTGAATCATCTTTATTTCTTTTACTTCTTATCTTTGTCTTTCAAATTATTCCACCATATGTCCTACTTTTTCTACCGGCACACAATTAGATTCCGTAAACTTTGTGCTCTTACCCAAGAAAAAACAGCTCTCCCACACACAAGGACCATAACCCAAATTTAAAAGGGGAAAATAATTAAAATACCCCAAAGCTTGAAGAGGTGAGATAAACACCCCAAACTTGCATATGTAATTTAAATACCTCAAACTTTATATAAAAAGTTATTTTAGCACCATGGTCATGTATTATTTCTTCCAAAAATGTTAATTTTTTGAATTGATTTTATAATTTAAAATATTTTAGCATTCATGAATTCAATTAACATTCTAAACTTTCATTGTAAAATAAATAGCATTAGCCCCCCACTCTGTATAATAGCAACATTTTCAATTTGCTATTTTACATTTGGCAAATAACATCATAAATTTACATTTTTGAAAGAAATAATACATGCCCATGGTGTTAAATGACTTTTTATTTAAAGTTTAGGATACTTAAATTACATATGTAAGTTTGGGGTGTTTATCACACACCCCTTCAAAGTTTGGGGTATTTTAATTATTTTTCCCAATTTAAAATACATAGTCGTTGCCTCATTGGTATGGCTGAAATATTCTAGCCCATTTTTCCCATGGAATTGGCTTACCGCTCAGAATGAGTAATACATAACTTATACAAGAGACGTGGGACATTATGTAAAATCTCATATGCAAATATTAAGATAAAAATTATCTAAAATCTCATATGCAAATATTAAGATAAAAATTAAGCCCTGCATAGCTATCCCTCCCAAACCCCTTGAGAATTTGATGTCCAATTTCCAAGCAAACCCTTTCAAGAAACTGTCCATGTGAAAAGTTTGCCAAGGAAAGGAAGGATATTTCAGCAATGGTGGATATTTCACTTCACTTTAGAGGAAGTGACACTTTGTGCAACTTCTCATCAGCTTCAACCTTTAATAGTCATTGCACCAGCCAGACTATTGAGGATGACAAGTTAACCCAAAGGATTGATACTGGACACAGCAAATGCAATTACTGAATTTAATTTGTTCTACCAGCCATCTTCATAAATCTCAACAGGTCGATTGATGTAAGAGATCTTGTCCCAACTCTCAACCAAAGGTGCATCGTCTACACAATGAAAATCCTCACTAGAGCTCCGGACATACAAACGAACTGGAATTCTACCTGACATGCACAGAAAAAAAACAGATAACAAAAACTGAAAACACTACTTCAAAGCCATTCCAGATTAAATATAATTGTATTTGTATTCAAGCCTTCAAGGTATTCGCACAACAATTCAACACATAGTCCCGGCAAAGCAGAATTTAACTTTCTTTTTGTTAAGTTAATAATATTTGCAAGAAGGTAACCAGCGGAGTGCGAGAGGGCAAGTTCCATATGGAACCCACATCATGCTTATCGATATTTTACACTTTTTTCAACATTTATTCATTTTATTCAACTAAGAATAATTAATAAATGATTACACTTCTACCTTCTTAGTTATTAAACATATCAGTCTGTATTCAACCCCAACTATCCATTCCTAGATAAATACACTCCTCATTGGATAAAGGGAAAACATTCGAGTGTTTATTTATTTAAAGGGTAATAACTAATAAATGAAGGATGTTAGAATCCAACCATTTGAACAAATTACCTTGTGAGTTTGTCTTGTCTTTTTTTACTACTACAGGAGCATCTTCATCACTTTTCATACTTTGCTGACAGCCTGACACTTGTAAGAGTCCAACTTTACTGTAAAATCACCTCCATATATATTCAGCTTAAGCTTAAAAGAATGGCAGAGATAAGCATCCAAATTGCCTAGAGAAGTATTTAGCAGTTAAATACTGCATTGCTGGCAGAAGTATTTAGCAGTTAAATACTGAATTGCTGACATATCAGCATCGTCAAAGTCACTTCTAAAGGTTTACAGAAGTGAACCCTAACAAAATGTTAAAAGACTTCATTACACGCCTTTCATAATTTTGAAATTATAATGTCACTAGCAAAATCCAGATATCCATGAAGCAAAATCCAGTTACCGCAGATGTTCATTTGAATAAATGTTCGTAACCAACAACTTAATTTTTTTGGAAAATGTGATATATATTCACACATACACACACAAGCACACACACACACACATGTGTGTGTGTGTGTCTATATATATATAGTTTCATGTAAAGGCACAATACCATTTCAGAGTTACTAACACAATCTGATATTGAAACACGCTCTTTCTGAGCTTTGTGGCGTACCTGAAAATAGATCGTATGACATTATTGAAATTAAACCTTTCAAAACCAATCATGATTTGTTTACCATCAACAAACACTCTCTCACTCTTGGAGGGTAAGAACAATGTGATCGAGATGAAGCACAACATCCTTGAAAATTATAATTGCAACCCGTCAACAGTGCAACAACCAAACATGCCATCATGAGTAACCTCAGGGGTAAAGCTCCCATCCGACCGTCACACGGTCACATTTATACAGCGTTGATTCGCGTCCCAACAGAATCCCATCTACTAACAAGTAGGAGCATTGATTGCAGCGTCCACATAGGTAAGTGTTAATCGTCTGAAATAGCTGCACAATTTTCTAAAAGAAAATCCCATTTCAGCCAAATAAGTAAGAAGCTCTACTTAATCTAGAGAATAAGCCACTTAGCTTTTGGCAATAACACAGCCTGTGACAAATTGGAAACGCAGCTAGATGAGGAGCCACTCTTCAGTCCAAACTTGTGGGTAAGCTAAATGCAGGAACCTTGCATAGTTTCCTCTCCTTCAAAATATCTCTCATCCTTTCCACATCATCCCAATGACCACTACTAGCATAAATATTGGACAAAACTACATACACCCCATCACTCCAAGGTTCTAACTCTTGCAAGTGCTTAGCTGCCCATTCTCCCATTTTCACGTTCCTGTGCTTTTCACAAGCCCCCATAAGGCATCCCCAGACCACCACATTTGCCTTCATCGGCATCCCCTCGATCATTTCCCTTGCCTCTTCAAGCAACCCTACCCGCCCAAGCAAATCAACCATGCACCCATAATGTTGTAACATTGGCATGATCTTATATTCATTTTTCATCATCCTAAAATAATGCTTTCCTTCTTCTACATTCCCACCATGCACGCAAGCACTCAGAACACCCACAAAGGTCACATGATTAGGCCTCACACCGGCTTCCCTCCTCATGCAATGGAAGGACTCAAGAGCCTCCTTCGCATGTCCATGCAGGGCATAGCCAACAATTACAGACGTCCACGATGATACATTCCTTTTTCTCATCCCAGAAAACACTCTATGGGCAAGGTCCATTCTCCCACATTTCCCATACATATCAATGAGTGAATTCATCATCAACATATCACATTTCTCATCCACCCTCACCTGAACCACACATTTATGCAATTGCAAACCCAAACTCAGGTCCCCTAAATTCCCACAAGCAGATGTAGCACTAACCATAGTCACATCATCAGGACGAAATCCAGCCTTCTTCAACTCCATAAATATGTCAACTGCTTCTTTTGCCCTCCCTCCTTGTGCCATCCCAGAAATCATAGCGTTCCAAGACCCCAACATGCTCTCACTATTTTCACCAAACACCTTCCACGCATTCTTAAACTCACACGTTTTTGCATATAAGCTTATCAACCCACTCTCGCAATACATATTAGCGCTGAGCCCAAGCTTTAGCACATGACCATGTAGCTGTTTTGCTAGAATATAGTTCGAAATGTGAGAAACTGCCTTCAACATGATGGGCATGGTATATTCATCTCCAGCTACACCATCTCTCATCATTTCTACAAACACTTGTATTGCCCTCTTGGGAGAGTCTAGTCTTGTGTACGATCGAATGATGATGTTCCAGTAAAAGGGTGCTGTGTAAAAATCTTGAAAACGGGTCCGGATCAGCCTGGCCTGAATTTGCCCGAGGTGCAGAATGTTCGTGCAGGAATTTATATGGATCGCAATCGTGGTTGCGCAGTCCAAGTGGCATAGTGTCCTGGTGGGGATTTGGGTCGCTCTAACTGTGGCGGAGAGTGCGTTGGTGAGACGAGAAGTGGGTTGCACGTACATGTACAGAGAGGTAGAAATCTTGACAGGAAAAGAGGGAATGGTGTTCATGTGCTTGAAGAAGAATATAAGCTTTGGATGTTAGGACTCAGCAACTTGATCACCCAGATTATGGTCCATGACTCTGTGGTAACCCGCTGAAGGGTAGCTTTTATCTAAAACTTAGAGCAAATCTACAGCATAGGGAGGAGCATAGCACACAAAGGAGGAGGGCAGAGCAGAGGAGGAGAGGGACCAGGGAGGAGGAGTATTGCAGCAGCGTGAGGTAGCACTCTTACCTACGACCCAAGACTCATGACCCAGCAAACCTGACCCGGATTCTCCTCTCGAATCAAGGATTACAGATGACGGAAACCACAACCAACCTCCGGAGAGCATCTATCTCCTACGAAGGACACCCGCAACCAATAACAACCGACGTGCAACCTTTGGCATGGGCCATAAATGAAGCCTTAGAAACTTCCGATTTGATATCGTGCCTTCATTGTTTTACTTTTCAAGCAGCCGCTATATGTTTCTATAAACATTGTACCTTCAATGATAAAATATAATAACGATAAAACAACTAAATCGTCATCAAGCATCACTCAATCTAAATAAAATCCATACAAAGAACATACAGATATGGCATAGTCTCTATATTCATATTTATAATATTTTAACTGCTATAATATATATTATAGTTTGGTTAGTTTCACTGTTTTTTAAGGGCAGTAATAACAGCCGGAGCATCAAATATAATTCAGAATGCAGCTCCTAATAAAACCCCTCCCTTTCCACATTCTGAGTGCATGCACAATCTCTTCTTACCACTCTGTTCACTATTTAGTTGTGGTAAAACTCTCACCTGATCTCCCTCTGTCAAGTGCATAAAACTAGTAGTACAATAAGATACATGTTAAAATATATATGTATATTCATTCCTCTTTAATACTGAAGCTTCTATTTATGTGTGGAGTACTAGCTAGGTGTCTTAAATTTAAGCATTTCAGTTAGCTAGGCAAATTGTTAAACCGGATACCAAAGCCTCCTTTTGTGTGTATGTGTAATGTGTGTGCAATTCAGTGTCTTTCTAGTGATTTTGTGTCTATTAAAATTTTCTAAATTGTCCTACCTGCCCCAAAAAGGATTTCCTCTTTATGTTGATTGTTTTTTTTTTTAATTTCATTATAACTGTTTCAGCTAGAAAAATGATCATGGAGGAGTCTTTGATTATAAGCTTACCTTTAGATCTAGATCTTGTAAAGTCCTAGAGAAAGAAAAGAATGTTCATGAAAATTATTAGAGTGACAGAGTAACAAAGATGCTTATAGCCTCATACATAGACATCAATATTACTTTCATGCGAAAAAGACGCAATGTGTATAAAAAAGGGGGGAAATTTTCTCATCTCTGATTAAATGAATTTTTGTGTTCCCAGCAGGTGTGTACATTGTAAAAACAGAAGAAGAGTCAAACAGTGTTACCATAGGTGGAGATGTGGAAATAGTATGAAACAATGAATGTTCTCATTGTTATTGGACACAATACAAATGTACAATCACTACTTCATCTACAATTGACAACAATTATCAATTAGTCTGTAATTTACTGAAAATTTTTCTAAAAAATCAAGCTTCTTGTTGTAAACTAGTATACATTCACAATAATGGATTTACCTTTTCTATCTTCTCATTCGAGAGCACTTCATAATGTCTTCATATGAAATCTTAACTCTTTATTCACATTATCATCAAGCTACTTGAGACAACCTTAGGGCCGGTTTGATAATACAGAGCAAAAATGTTGTAATATAAACACCACGTTCAGACATGCACACCACAAAATGCTTGACACCTCACTGTTTAAAACTAAAAACCCACAGTCTATGTTAATTGTCCCTGGGTATGTTTAATTTTTTCTAGCGATTGATGCCTCTGGCAGGAGACCTTCTAATTGAAGAGCTTTTATTTAATTTTCCGTATAGTACAACAACAGACAAAGAAGACATAGCAGATGGAGTATAATAGGAGGTTGATTGGGGAGGAAATAAGAGTTGTATCAGACAGCAATGGGTCGGAAGTAAGAATAAGATACCTCAAAGCTGTAACCTGCGATCGATCCAGGAAGATTCAGGAGCAGAGTACCGCGCAAGAGGAACAAGTGATAGAACGAGCATCGAAAGTCTGCAAACAAGCGGCTAAATATAAACCCCTCTTCCCTCAACTTTTTATAGTCCATTAGTGTTCGAATTCTAAGATATCTATTAGAATTCGACTAACTAGAATATGAATACAAATTTGATTTGTGATTTGAACACTTTAAGAATACGATTATACATATGGTAAGAATACGGGGGGAATTTATAAAAAAATTATAGTGTTGAAATAAAGAGAAAATTCTGAAAGTTGTGCAACCATAGCATCAGTCATATGAAGTAACATATGTGTTTTAAAACACAGAGTTAATCAAAGTAACTGTGGTCATATCAAATCTGTTAATGATTTACCCTTAGAAAAGTAGCAAACATTTGTGTGGTTTGGCTTATGGTGGTCTGTAGTGAGAAACATTTGAGGTATCTTTTGTTTTACCAATACCCTGAATTAAATAAAGAGTCAAATTAAAAGAATAAAAATAAAGTTAGATTCATTCGCATAGTAATTGAATGTTAACAAGACCAGGAAGCTTCCTACTATATAGTGTTGCTGGTTTAATATATACAAATAAAATTAATGTTAAATTATACCTTTAATAAGTAAAGGAAATGGCTTGTCTTTTATATGGAAAAATTCATAATACGGAGTATAATGGAGAGTTAAGATGAAATAATGGCACAAAGTATTACGCAGTATGTTAGTGTGAGTTTGTAACCTGAAATTGTATATGTCAACGGGTAGGTCATGGGCCTTCTAAACTTAAGGAAAACATTGTGTAGAAGGTAATTTATTTTAGTTATTGTTGAAATTAAAGAGAGTTGATAATTGACAAACAACGATCAACTTAGGCGTTCCTGCAAACACTTTGTGAATACGATTAAATTTACCAAATCCAAGAGGAAGCTGGTGATGAAGGTCAAAATCGCAGCTTAAATTGCTTTTATGAACTAACCACTACCATGGAATACGGATGAAGAATCACCATCTTTTGGAGTACTAATTTGTTGTTATAATTTTGGTTTATGTGTTTATTGTTGTAAAAGTTATTAATTATAGGACTAACCACCACCATGGAATACTCCACTAATTATAGGGCTAATTATATGATAAGGAATGATAAGAAGAAGCTTTGGATTGGAATTGAGAATATGTAGAGTTTATAATTTACATTATTTTGGATATTCACATTTATTATTGATATTGTACGATTAGAGTCTAGTCCACTTGAATTAAAGTATCATTATTTAAAAAATGTTGAAATGTTTCGAAATTGAGTGTACATTATAGTGTGAACTATTTATGACTACTGTCACTAACACCCGTCCACGTGAATTAAGGTTCCCTAAATATTTCAATGTGTGAAGCTTACATAATGTCGAGTGTTAGTTATTTAACGCTTTCCACCTACTTTTTTCCCCTTTTCCATTATAGCTCATCCATCTCCGTTTTGTTTAAAACTAATTAAATGTTTTCATAATAAAGTTGATAGAATTTTTGTTGACCAATAAGAGAGTGACACACACAATTTGACACACACATAATAAATGTTTTCATATATATATATATATATATATATATATATATATATATATATATATATATATATATATATGTTAGCAGTTTGAAATCTTGTTTTACTAAATAAAATAATAAATTTAAATATTTAATGAAAATTGAATTACTTATATGTGTCACGACACTACTGTGTAAACGTGCATTTCCCATAATGCACATTTTAACTCAAAATTTAATATAGATATTATATACTATATCATTGATTTATAGCTCAAGTATTACAATAGTTTATATATATATATATATGTAATTTGGTGTCATATGAAAGATCATAAAGTTTACGATTTTTGATATATGTTCTGTTAAATTTGGAGTGATGCATTGAATGAGTTGATTGGATTAAAATGAATAGCAGTGATGGACCGAGTGAATAACAGTGATACACCGAGTGAATAGCAATGATGCACTGAGTGAGCTTGGATTAATTAAATGATTTAGTAGTGGTGATAATGAAATTTTTATTAACCAATATAAACTCACACATCATTGATTCATACTTCAGTTTGATTATATAAAAGTAATATTTTTTTATTTTTATATATGCAATATTGGTTTAATATGAAAGATTACAAAACTTATTAATTTTGATACATTTCTTACAAAAATTGGATTACAAAAAAAAGAAAAAATCTCTTCCCCTTTCTCTAAAAAAGTTGGCGTGATTAAAGTGAATAAATGATGCATCGAGTAAATAGCAATGAAGCACCAAGTAAACTTGAATTAATTAAATGTTAGAGTAGTAGTGATAACAAAATTTATTAACTAATTTATAACTACATTTTATTATATGAAATAATATATTTTTATTTTTATATATGCAATATTGATGGCATATGAAAGATCAGTCAATTTTGATATAATTTTCGTAAAGATTGGAGTACAAATAAAAAGTTATAGCACATTAAAAGATATTTTCTCCTTCACTTTCTCCAAATGAGTTGGCATGATTAATATGAATAACACTTATGCATCAAGTGAATAGCAGAGATGCACCGAGTGATCTTGGATTAATTAAATGTTTTAGTAGTAATGATTATAAATCTTTTATTAGCCAATGAGAATGTTATAAATTTTGATGTATTTTCTGTAAAAATTGGAGTACAAATAAATGAGTTTTAATACATTTTAAAAAAGTTTTTTTCTACTTCATTTTCTCCAAATGAGGAGTGATACATGTACCGAATAGCAATGATGAATCAAGTGAGCTTATATGAATTAAACGTTTTAGTAGTAGTGATAATATAATTTTTATAAATCAATAGAATTTTTAACTCGGATTTGCTATATAAAATACTACCTTCATCCCATTCAAAAATTCTCGTCCACTATTATCTAGTCAACATAAAGTCTTCTTAATCAATTACTTTATATATCCAAGTTTTATCAAATTTGAGTTTTTCTTTTGCGACTTTATAAAACTTTTGATGTAGTCTTTGGATATTTAAATTTTATTCACTAATAAGAATCTAATTACGGATAGGATCAATTAATTTTATGATCAGTTAAATATCGTAAACTGTGTGGAACCTTTCTACGGGACGTATATGTGTATATATATATGTGTGTGTGTGTGTGATATTGGATGGTGTCATATGAAAGAATAAAAAGTTAGGAATTTTGATATAACTTTTATAAAAATTGGATTATATATAAATATAAAAGTTATATCACTTTAAAAAGAGAGATTATTTCTCCTTTTTTGCTCCAAATTGGTTGTGATGTAGGAAGTTTTTTTTGAAATAGCCGTGTGATGTGAGTTAATTAATTGTTTTCATTATTGTGATAATAGAATTTTCTTTATCCAATAGGAAGTTGACATATCATTAGTTTTTAACTCAACTTTACTATATAAGACTATAGATATATGCTACTCCTTATAAATAAATATAATTCAACATAAAAATATTAATAACATAATATTTATGTAAATATTTTGCATATTTTAATTTAAAAGTTATTACTCTACCAGGTCAAAATAGCTTCATTTAAAGTTATAATTCTCTGTTGATTTATTTATATTGATGTTAAATTCTAAGAAGCTAAGTTACTTTTATACATATATTTTGTGTGGTATGAAATATGCAATATGAAAATTAGTTAAAAGGAGCAAACTATACATCAAAATTTTAATTATTTTCATAATGTAAATTTAATATTTTTCAAATTTGAATATTCAAAATAATATTCAAAAAACATTCGAATATATCAAAAAAATCGAATACGAATATGAAATAAGATTTGAATATTAAACGAATACGAATATTCAATAATTATATGAATACGAATAATATTGTCAAGTATTCGATTCGATTCGTTTACCACCTATAGTTCACTCATTTATTTCACTTTAAGGCTTTAAGCTTGTTTCATCCCTTCAAACAAATATCAGACTAGTATAATTAAAATTCACTGGACTTAAAAGATTATATCTCTTCTTTAACAGAACCAAAGTAGGGATAGCTAGACATGGGTCGGGATACGGGATTAGAGTTATCTCAGTCACAACCCAATTAGTAATAACAGTACAGGATGGGATGGGATCATGGGATAAACCTTTGTCCTAATCCTGTCTCGTTTAAATCGGGACCCTTGGGAGCATTATGTACCGGTACCACTGTATACTCTTGAAATTAAAAAAAAAACTTGGGAGCATGATGCTCACTAAGTTACATGAGATACCAAACATGAGTTACATCAGCCTTACTAGGCCGCTCATTAGAGTTTTCATTTAATAGTATAAATCAAACTCCATGTGTGATTCTATGTATCCGGTTAGTGTGTTTCAGATTGAAATAAGAGTCACCGATGTTCTATCGGGTTAGACATACCTACAAGTTTATTGGAGTTAGGCAAGGGTGCTACTGATACATGATTGGACAAGGATGACTAGTTTCAACCATATTTACAATTTCGTTTGTTTATACTCCTTTTATTATTTAGTTGTTCATTCGTTTTGAATTTTTAGAGAAATTGTATGTCTTTCATATCAAGTTAAGAAGCACAGAAATCAACATTGGCAAATTAAGCTTCCATTTACCTATTGCATGATTAGTGACTTGTGTGGCTCATTTGTGGGTGGTAAAGTCTAAGACTCTAAGCCTAATAATTGGGCTTCTTATTGAGCTGGTATTATATCTTGAATCTATTGTAATGATGTTTGATTTATTAATTTCAATATAAGCTATTCACATTTAATTTAAAAAACACTCCCTAGAAATATATGTTATTGTAGTATATAGGGTGCATATAAAGTGGAGACAGTTGGGGTAATTGCCTCTCAACCCCTATGTATAACCAAAAAATTAATAACAAATTGCTCAAAATAGTAGTTAAACATCAGGAAAATTTTAAAATAAAGCTAAAAGTATTTTCTTCCTCAAATATGAGATTTATGTGAACTTATTAAAAGAATAAACAGATAAAATTCCCTTAATAAGAGTGCATGAGTCCGACTTTGGGAAGAAAACAATAATACTTCTATTTGAGAAAGTTTGTTATGTGTAATTCTATTTAAAGAAATTCTTTCAAAGTTTATCTATAATTGCATCTTTGCGCAGACGTAATATAAAATGGTCTAGCTTCTTTTTATACATATTTGTGCGTTTGTTTTTTGTGAAATGTGTGAATAAATTGCAGTGAAAAATTTGTTTCCACTAGGAAAATTTTCGAAATACGCCATGTAAGATAGGCACATTAGCTCAAACTTGGCAGCCGCTTCATTATCTCTCAATGAACGATAATTTTTCTCCAATTTGTGTACAGAATTTTGGCATTCCTAGAATTTGTGTACATAAGTTTATGAGCTTTTTTTCCCTAAAAGCCGCTAGCTTTTAATGAAGAATGGTTCCACTTCTTCTGAATTGATTACAATAGCTCCAGTTTTTAATTTATTCATGTTCTTCTCTGGTGTGGGTTGTACTCTAAGTTTTGGCAGAAATATATTTTTTATTTTAAAACCTTGGTCTTTGTTGCCCAAAGTAGCAATTTTTTAATGCTTAAAATTCTTTTGAAAGTCACTTATATCATTTGTTCTTCCAACCAAAAATTCCATTTTTAGAAACTGATGGTGAGTTGTTTAACAGTCAAGGTGAGATAAACAAAATGATGAAACGAATATTGGTTTTCTAATTTGAGAGACTAAGAGGGCACTTTATTGGTGTAGCGTAATGACTTAATGAGTCAACAGGAACACCATCGACTTGATATTGATTTTTCAACTTTAAGCTCACTAAAATGTCGAAAATTAATTTGTATTATGAGTATTCTTATTCTAACTTTGATAAACCCTGAATTCAAGTGGTTGTATACTTGTATTGTTTTAGTAATTTGTCCAAGTTTAAACAAAGCTTGACCTTTTAATATTATTGATCGAGCCATATTTCTCAATTTTATTTTTACACACTAAACAACCATTATTTTCACTCTTTTAAGGCTTTGTTTGGCAATCGGCTGTTAGCTAGTTACGGCAATTGATTGACAATGACGGGTTGTGTCAACTATTTTAATTGCCTAGTTATGTTGGCTTATTGTCAATAAATGTTTGGTAAATTAGCTGTTTAAAGATAATTGTTTGCATGTAAAATGACATTTAAGGACATTAGAATTAAATTTAAATTTTAGCTATTGCTTATAAAAACAAAATTACCCACATTTATTATTTACACCGTTTAGAAATTTCAATCGCAATCCTTGAGTTTGTTTGTTAAGCATTTCCTTTTTGATGTGGTTCCCAAAAAACAAGCTAATTTGTTTTTTTAATTGTAGCTCGTAGCTATAGTTTTACATACGAATTTCAACACCACGATAGACGCAAATAGATGAAGAAAAGATAGAATGAACACACAGAGAAAAGATAGAATGACCATTTTCGAGTGCAAGAAGCTAAACCTATAATCCATTTAAGTAATTTAACAAACAATAATTTTGAGTAGTCAGATGGTCAAACTCATTAATTATAGTCAAAGAAGCCAAAACTGGCTGATAAGTTGTTTTCCAAACAGGGCCTAATTATTAAGTTATTGTACCAATTTCCTTGACTCAGAGAAGGGTACCACATTAAGGGATTTAAGGGCTCATTTAGAATTTCAATTCGTAGTATCGTACACCCCACTATTGTAATTTGTAAATGACAATGTAAAGAAGTAGGATTGTAAATGATACTCCCGTCCTGTTGGAACTTGGAAGGTTCCAGACTTCCCGTGATTAAGTGGCACGATTTTTTTAATTAAGTGGTTAAATAAAGTAATTTGAATAAAAAAGAAAGGAAAGAGAACATTTAGAAAAAATAAACGTATAAAGTGAAAGTGATTAAAGGGGAATAAGTTTGAGGATGTGGGACTCGACATGTAACGAGGAGGAAAGAAATTTGAGTAAATGTGTAATTAAAGAGTAAATTAATTCCTAAAATGAAATGGTAACCTTTAAATGGGACACTCAAACAAGAAAAGTGAGAATCTTTCAACGAGACGGAGTGATTATTAAATATAACACAAGTTCCTGTGGAGAAATAAAGGGATACAATAAGTGAATAAGATGTTTATAGGAGATGATAGGGAAAAAGGGTGTACCGAGTCCAATCAAAATTGATACATATTCCTTCTTCAAGGATGTTGTAAACTTCCAATTTACAGAAACACCATTGGAAGTTTGTTTTGATTTCCTACTCCCTCCTCTCTTTACTCTATGGTGACTTAAGAGGGGTAAAGGGAAACTAGTCTCTCCGGGGCCTTTTATTCTGCCGTTTGTCCTGCTCACGGTACCTTTCTCGCCGTTCCTCCCTCCTGCGCCTCTTCAAGACTTGTTCTTCCTTGGCCCTCTCCACCTCAGCTGCTTTCTTTTTCTCTTGGTCTTTGAGTTTACGCTTTTTAACCTAGAAAGAAAAAGCCAAAACATGACATGAGAGGAAAATGGAGTACATACACACCATTGTACTAGGTTTTCCCAAAATTGGCAAAAGACAAACCTTCTCACTCCTAATAAGACGGAGATGTTGAAGAACCCGTTGCAGCTTCTTCTCATTAGGTTCCATCACAACTGCCCTTCTTTTTTCCAGTGTTGGTCTCTTCCGAGCTGGAATATCTTTTGGTTTTGAAGAGAAGGGGAGATCCGCTAGTACCGATTTGGGAATAACAAACGGGTTGAACTTTTTCGGCTTTCTATCAATTGGCTGTTGAAGGTTGAAACAAAACATTAAGTGGCAATATATACATGTAGCTAGGTGTATTTATAGAGAGACTGTAGGGATCAAGTCATGTGCATCTGATGGGTGGCCAAAAATCAACTCAAAGTTCCAGATTTCTTTGCTCATTATCATTACACAACAACATTACCCCCAAGGTTTTGAAAGGCAAAATCAGGCCCCGAGGGGTAGCCTCACGAGGCGTAAGCCTCGAGGGGTAACGAGGCGTAAGCCTCGAAATTAATTGCTTAAATATTAAACAATATCACAGCTAAACAAAATCACAAGTAAAATGATTTGTTTACATGAATTTAAATAAACTAGTTGCACAAAATAGCCAATTAATAATCAACTTTACAAAAGAAGATATAACCAAACTGTAATGAAGTTAATTATAATATTTCTAATTAAATTAAATTGTAAATCTTGATCCAAGTCAAGTAGTAAACTAGTAAAGTACGTAATATTAAACAAATTAATAAGCTGGAATGGAAGCAACTCTGAAACATCGAAGTCCATGTAGTATGTACTCAGCTTCGAGGCTTCGACTGAGACAGCTCTTCAAGTCGTTTCTTCGTAGTAGTGGAACTAGGGCTGTCTTGTGTCGACTAAGAGATAAACGTGAAGTAGTTTTTTTTATTTTTAAAAATCGAGGCCCCCAATAATTAAAAAAACAAGTTGCATTTAATTAAATGTGTACGCCTCAACTACGCCTTGCGCACTGGACCGCATCACCGCCTCAGTAAAAAAAAAGGCGTAAGCCTTGTTAGTGGAAGGTAAGGCTTTGCGCCTTTGCGCCTTTAGCGTGAATTGTTAACGCTTTAGAGCCTTTGCGCCTCAGAGGTGTGGATGGAAATGCCTTTTAAAACCATGATTACCCCAGGGCTGCAAAGGCTCTCACCTACGGCCGGGTAAAGGGGGCCAGATATACGCAGCCTTACCCCTGTACTAAAGTACATAGAGACTGTTTCTAGATGACACATGATGAAAATGGCATCAAAAATTGCATGGACTGACCGCTGCTTCATAACAAAGAAGTGCAAATAGTCTAGTGAGCCATTTTGCTTTTTCCATCATATTCCCAAGCCATCTTTGCTCATTATCATTGAAATTGTTAATTTTAACTGCTCCAGATCATGTCAACAAATATAATTTTACTGCTGATTTCTAATAATGAACTAGTCTAAACTGTTAGATAAAACCTACATGACATAAAGTTAGTTTATGGCATCTATATTCAAATAAATTAGATCTAACAGTTGAAATTAATAGTTGACACTAATGAGTAAAAAAAAATAAGTGATCTAATTGCTAAAATGAATGTTGGCCAGACTAACTGCAAGCCATGAATGCGGGACAGGAATACTATATGTGTGTAACCATAATATGAACTCTAACAAACACCACATCCTTACCTTATACAAAGAGTCCTTGTTGAGTGGTACTGGCAGGTTGTTCTCTCTCCTCAACTCAGAAACAGTTTTCATTCCTTCCCAGGTCTTATCGCGTGGCTGCAATGCAGTAGTCAACGGATTGAAAAAACAAGGGACGTCAACTTGTGTCCAAGCACGCAAGAAAACAATGTCACTCATCAGAATCCTATCCTCAAAGGTGCACCTAGCAATCCCTTCTTTGGCAAGACCACCCTTTTTTCTAGCTTGGTTACCAATCTCCTCTCCGGCAGCCTTTTTTATATTTTTTATTGAACAAAAGAGAAAAAATTAATACCAGCTCAGAGTAGTTCACAACTTAACATCATCAAGATCATATAAGTTTAAAAACTGAAGCCCAAAAACAAGACTAGAAGACAATAATACCTTTTTAACCTGCCCACGGATTCCACTAACAGTTCGAATAGCTGCACCTTCAAACCTGGCTATTTCAAGATCTGAAGTGAACATGTCCTTAATAAGTGCTGTCTTCTTGAAAATTTTACATGGGTAACCAACTAGCTTGATCTTTTTCACTATCCGTGCAGCATGATTGAACTCTAGCACGGTCCCAGTCGCTGTAATTCTAAAATCTGCCTGAAGTATGATGAAAAAAATAGCAGCAGTACTAATAGTTAGAAAATTTATAGAGTATGAAACAGTGACTGCACTCGATAAAATTTATGTTATATACTTGTATAGCTAAAAGGCAAAAACATCCAAATTCAGGGATTAGGAGTGTTTCAGAAGAAACAGATAACCACCTGATTGTTTGATAATTTCTGGACAGCAATCATTCCAGTGCGGGGTGGGGCCAGAGGACCCCAAAACATGGCAAGACAGTGCATGTGTTCAGGCGTGTACTTAAGCATACGACAGCGACCATTCAGGTCCTCAATAGCATAAACTGGAGTTGTTTGGTAACGCCTCCATCCCATAGAAACAATTATTGGATCTCTTGTCTTCAATACTTTCCTGTGCCACCGGTGCCTCTTTATCCGAAGCTACAGATAAAATGTGTAAGATTCTGAAACTGAGGTTCTAATGCATACAACGAATATAAGCCAGTTAAAGCAATTAACTAATACACATCAAAATTAAAACTAAAAACAGCAAATCTTTCACTCCCCATGTCCCAAAGACGTCATATTTTACCAAAACAAAGGTCATTTGTCATGTCATTTAATAATGATTTGCTAAAAAGAAAATTACAAGCAAGTTAAATATGATACTCCCTCCATTCTTAAATAAATGCCCCTATAGGTTTTCATGGAGATAAAAAAATAGTAGTGGGTAATGATGTAGAAAAATCTGGAAAAGAAAAAAGAGCGGAAGAGGAAAAGAGAAAGTAGAAAAAGTATGAAAGAGAATATGAAAAAATAAGGTACAAGTTGCCAAAAATGGAAATGGGAAAAAAAATATAAAGAGCTCTAAATCGAGGAGAGGCCTAACCTGCATGTATCCAACACTTTCCTCACCAATAGCAAGCCCTCCAACTAGAACAGGATGACAAGGATCAAAATACTCAACCATCTCAAAGGGAACATCATGAACCTCAAGCCTAAGATACATCCCAGTTCTGAAACCTTCTATTTCTATCCGGGTGGCATCATCAAGTTCATTTAGTTCAGCTATATTTAGTTGCTTTCTAAGTTCAACTTCTTCCTTTAACTGTAACAATTGTAAAGCAACACATATAGTTAACTGATATTGATCCGTCTTTTGATGATAAAAAAACAAAGAAAATCATCACACCTTATCAAAGTATCCAGACCCACTGGCTTGATCGCGAGAATCAGCTCCAGGTTTATCATCATTGCCTTCGTCAGCTGATTCTGGATCATCAATTGTGTGCTTAAGTTAAAGTCTACAAATTTTGAAACACAATACAATGCAACATGCATGACATGCTGCAAACATTAAAGGTCACAGATGATGATGGTCAATATGCCAAATTGCCAATAAAGCAATAAATCAATAGTATCTTCCTAGGAGCAGAAAACCATTCATGTATAAAGGAAATCAAATCAAATTTGCAACTGGAATAACGATACTATGAATTGTATTCGTGTGAAGGATATTGAGCATCGAATTTGGCACGAAGAGCCAACTTTTTGAGCATTCGCTTCTTAGCTTCTTCTTCTTCCCCTCCATCAATTTTAGCAGATATGTTGCTTCTTAGTTCTTGACTCTTGTATTCCTGTCCAGTTTCCAAATCTTCAAAATCACCAAATACTTCATCATCGTTGTCATCACGGACACCATTTGTCGACACACCGGCAGCAGCTTCTCTTGACCATCCTTTGGTGACAAAACGATTACGAATACTCTCAATTGAATCTTCATCCTTCCAGTTTTTCTCAATTGAGTGGTTGATGAATTTTGAACAATCCTCAGCATCCAGACTATCGTACAGTACATTTTTCCCTTTCTGAGTGAAGTTTTAAACAAAAAAGGCAACATTTAGACAGGGCATTTCAGTGAAGAATATGGTCTATTTAGTGGCATTCTATAATAGATATAATAATTTTATTGCTAGGCAAAGATAAAAATTCATAGTAGAATGCAATAAATTGGATGGATAAGTATAGTTTCATCCAAGTGCGAACCTTCTTCCCTTCCCCTTTTGGCTTAAAGAATTGATCATCCTCGCTTTCATCATCTTCACTAATTTGTTCAATATCAAAAGCAATAGTTGAGCTCGCCTCAGTTTTCCCATATACAAGTTGCATAAGATTAATATTCTGTCGTGACGAGGCTCGTTCTGCTAAGGACTCTTTCCATCTTGAAGCATTTCCCAACTCATTCTCTAGTAGTAAAAATAAAAAAGATTTTAATTAGGAGTGTAAATACTAGACTGATATGTGTGGGGAAAAATCAAAACAGAGTTCACTTATTGCTAAGGATGATGATCACATTACTTCAAATAAAAAATAACTGATATGCAGCTATGCGAATGACAAGGAATAAAAAAACAATATGAAAAGGCACGAGAAAAACACACCAACTCTAAAAAAATCTTCTCCCTCATTTGCAGGATGTTGCAGCAAGTGTTGGTCAGTTTCATCAGGCAAAGACTCTTCATCTGTCTCATTAAAATTATCCGAATCGTCACATTCTTCTTCATCTAGTTCTTCACTGTCTTCCTGATCCTGAATCAATATAAAAATATATAACAATTGAATGCAAAAGGAATGTAATGAAATGAGGTACAATATGAATAATTTGATACTCAAAAAATGTGTTTGTTTCACAAACTTTTGCCTAAAAGATCAATCCACTTTGATTTAAACAAAGCAGAATTAAAAGTAATTTCAAAAAAAATCAAAGGGTCCCAACAAATTACATATGATACACTAAGTAAGCCAATTTTATACTTTACCAAAATTAAAATTGTACAGTGGCCAAATAAAAAAATAGGTCAAGGTAGTGTTATGTTTCACAAATCCGATGATGTCACCAATTTATATGTCCCATAATAAACTTGCCACTTTCTTTTGGCACGAATTTAGGAAAACAGAATTGTGTACGCAATCATCAAAGAAGATTCAAGTTTAGCTTTTGTATTTAGGTAAAAGTTATAGTGTAGCTTCTAAAATATATATTCACTCCTCTGCACAAACCTCAACCACAGTTTTTACTTTATTATACAATGTGCGAGTCATGAGTGACTTTGGCAAAGTTATAAGGGACGGAGAGAGTAAGTTTTAATTATCAATACTAACTTTTATATGTGCACACAGAAGAGTTAAGTTTAATTACAGTAAACCCAGACAATAGGAAATGGAACAAAGATATTGGGACAAAGGTAGTAAGTTCTAAGCTAATGTACATTTACAGTGCAGCTCAGAATAATAGAAGTGAGAGAGCACAACCTGTCTGAGTGTCTGACTAGGAAAATGCCAACACATGAGAACATATTTAATCAAGGAGTAAGGACACTAGGGTTTGCATAATTCATTGCCTCAAAGAGTCCCAGAGAAAAAAGGGTTACCGCAGGAGTTAACCTCATGCATGTGAGCCTTAGGGTTTTGCATAGTGGCCCAATCTCTCAGATAAAATATTCTAAAGATGAAATGGTAAACATATTTGGTAAAAATGAGGTTTGGACTGCCTCGTGAGGCTTGCACAAGGGTTACGCCTCATGCATGTGAGCCTTACCCCTCTAGACAACACGTAAGGACCCTCAGGACCGTGAGGTTTAAGCCTCATGGAGTTGTACTCTAGTGCCCTGAGTTCACCTCAGGCAATAGAGTACTCTAGCGCCTTGAGTGCACCTCACAACTTAACTGCATTGGTTGGAAGTCAAGGAAAACTGGTTTTAGAAGCAGAACAATGTTCAATAGAGTTACCTCAGCATCCAGATCATCGTCATCGTCAAAAATAGCTTTTCTCCTCGTCCTTCCATCATGGAAATCAATCTGCTCTCTAAACCCATTATTGGATGTGGGGAGTTGCTCTGATCCAGTATCATTTACTTTATCCAACATATCATTTTCTTCATCAGAGATTTCTTCTCCATCTAAACACTCAGATTCATCTACATTATGGGTAATCGTTTCTTGATCTGGTGCGACTTCTTGAGCTTGAGGTTGAGGTTGAGGTTGAGACTCAGATGATGCGTTGGGCTTTTTTCCAAATAAAGAGATAAAACTCTGCTCCAACTTTTCATTAATTGAATATTTTGTATTCTGGAGTGATTTAACTAAAGTTTCCCCCACATCATGTTTCTTCCCTGGTCACAGACAGTAAAAATTAACAGGAAAAAATAATTAAAACTAAAAACAAAATGGATATGAAAACAAATTCAACAAAATCACAATTTATCTGCAAAAGTTTAACTAGAAGCTAAGAAAAGTAAATTAGACCTGAGATCGATGGTCAGATTTTACATGGTTCAACATAAAAAGAGTGAAGTGTTAAGATGTAACCTAATCCCATACTAACTAAATTTAATATCCACAGAGACTAAAGGCCAAATTGTAAAAAATGAATAGCTAAGTAACACCTGGACGGAAACGGGTACAGGACAAAAGAAAGTGGCAAGTTTACTATTCATTATACAACAACAACATCCAAGCCTTAATCCCAAAAGAATTTGGGGTCGGCTAACATGAATCGATCTATGATATCGATGCCAAAAAGAGAAGGCGGACAAGAAAAGGAAAAAAAAAGTAAGATAAAATGAATAAAATAAAGATACATAATATAAGATAACAATAACACAAGAATATAACCAAGATAAAAGAAAAATAAATAAAAGAGCATAAAAAGGCTAGAAGATAAAAATAACATAAGAATATAAAAAGATAAGGAAGATAAACGATAAAAGAAACAAGAGAGGAAAGGTAGACAAGACATCAATCGTCCACATGGATGTGCGCCCTCCACTTTGCTCTCTCCAAAGCCATACTCTCATCCAACCCAAGAAGACGCATATCAGTTCTGATTACTCTAATAGTCTAATCCAAGTTTGTTTGGGTCTTCCCCTCCCTCTCTTCTCTGACTCTTCTCCCCACCCCTCAAGTCGTCTAACAGGTGCATCACTCGGTCTTACTATTCATTATATGTATTGATAATGACAATGATGACCTGTACTAATGCAGTAATGCTAGCAAAATGTGGAGACAAAGATAAAAAAAGGACACGTAAATTTAGATTGAGCCAGAACCTTTTCTTGTCACACCACCATTTGCATCATCTACTTTAGAGAATTGCACAAAGTGATCATTTATGTTAATGTAGACAGCATCTTTATCATAAAGAAGGTCCCCTAATCCAGACATTGGAGCATAAAACAACTTCTCTTTGTCCCTTAAGCCCTTTTTCTTGGCCGCCATTGGTAGTGGACAAGGGTCAGGTAGGGCTGTAACACCAGCCATATCGTAATCGCCAACACCAGCAATATGCACCTGCTCATATCATAGCCTAATCAGGATAAGAGAAACAATACACACAACCACACATAAATACACACATGCACATGAGCATATTTATATATATTGTACTTCTAAACTAGAAGAATTTCATTATTTTTTATTTCAATATCTTCTTTAAATATATAACTTGAAGTTATATATTTAAAGAAGATATTATTTTTAATATTTCATAATAAAGAAGATACCTTTTGGACAATTGGGTTATAATGTTCGGCATATGTGCTTTAGAATCAATACTGTTATTATCCAATACTATGCGAATATAACACATTTTGCATCAACTAGAAAGGAAACAGATTTTATGTTCATCCAGAATACACTTTGACCTTTATTCCTACATGAGAGATGGAAAAATGTTTCATTCGCAAAGAGAATCGTGGATATCATTGTATTACTAAACTACAATATGATTAGCTCATAGAAGAAGTCTGTATCAAATAAATGGACAACTACAAGCATAAAAATAGCACACTTTGGGGTTTTCTTACTAATGAATTATATGAAGCATATAGCAAGTCGCACAAACCTTTGTTCCCTTCTTCAGGTTACAACCACGCAGATAACCATACAAAGTAACATTCCTGTCACACTTATTATTCATTCGTACTTTTTCTGGAGGAGTTACATCTTCAAAACGGTCAACCAATATGTAAGGGTGGGACTGTCTCCATGACAATGGAGGAAACTTCATAACAGATATAAACCTTGCAAGATTGTGTACTTCACGAGAAGCGTACCTGTTGAATAGCAAAATGCCATTGCATAACCAGCACATGAGACTCCAAAATACAAATTGAAAGTAGAGGTTTTCTCGGTGATGAAGCGATTCCAGGCCAGCATATGAGACTCAATTAGAAACAAAAAGGAAAGACTTACTTTCCATTAATAAGACCAGACAAATAGAATAGTTTAGCTCCATCGTATATCTCTGTCCAGAACCGATGCTTTAATTTTTGTTTTGTTTTCCTGAGTTTCTTTGCATCTTTGAATTTGTCCAAGTGTGTAAGAACACCCATAACTTTAGGAAACCCATGATTTTGCATTATATTAAGGAACTCGAAACTCTCCTGCAAAATCATTCGATCACAGCTTCAGAAGCAGAGAAAATTACGCACTCCAAACTTTGAAATTATGTCCTTCAATCCCTTTATGCTAAGAAAGGAAAGAAACCTCACCATTTCAAACCCATAGTTTCCATCAATGAGAAGCAATGCTAAATCCGCAAACTTAGCAACATCAATCATGCCATTGATATCATTTGGACACTCCACAAACTGCAGACGCCTTTGCTTACCTACAACATTAACACTTTAGCTATTAAAGTATTAATTACCCCCTATAAACAAAAGCAAATAGTGTGTGATCATATTAAGCAGCCAATGCTGAAATGTCATCACGCTGACTTTGGAAGATTGTTGTTTGCTTCATGCAGCCAACTTTGGTGATGTGGGAATAAGGTGTTCTTGTGAACCTGAACACCAAAAAGGCAAGACCGCCCCAAGGGCAAAGCCTCTGAAGCTAGCTAGGCTTTACAGCTCAAAATTAAAAACTTTTGTGAAGAAATTACTGCTAATAGGAGTAAAACATGATTTATATACATCAACAGGACCACTCTTTATTACTCAAAATAGGATTCATTTAGTCCTAAGGAAAAAATAGTGGTTAATACTTCTTTTCTAGGATTAAATGAGACTTGTTTTTAGGATAAACAATGATGATGCTGTTGGTTGGAATGTGTTACTCACCCTGTCCCTTAAAACTTTGACAACTTTCATTTTTTGGTTGTCCCACTAACTTTACCATTTTCCCTTTTAACTTTTTAAGTAAAGAATTTGTGCTTCAAGTTAATTCTCTCTCCTCTGCACAAATCTCAACCACACAGTTTTTGCTTTATTAATCCCCGTACCGGTCAAACTTGGCCAAGTTTTAAGGAGGAGGTATGTTTTAGTCTTATTTATGGAATATTTCTTTTATATATAGGGAAAAAGGCCACTGAAAGTGTCCCATTGTTTATCCTTTATATCAGTCCATTGTTTAATTGACTCGTATTTTTACCAGCTTACATTTTTACAATATCTTAATTCGGATTTTGCTATAGGCCTCCATAAGGTTGGGACAGCTCAGCGAGAATGCAATAAGTTGGGGAGAGACACATAATGTATGACGATAAGATATGACTAGGTGGTCACAAGAATACGACAGGATGTATGGGGTATTCATTTAGCAATTTAGTAGGAACGTATATTTTTAAACAGATATAGGTGTTCTCTTTTGGGAATAAGGTTTGGATGTTGTATATAGGAGTTCTCCTAAATCTTAAAAAAATACAACATTAAGGTGGGAGTCTTTGTTCATTTGTTGCATCCAAACTCCAGAACGAAGACCAAGTAAGCTCATCCCGTATAAATGTAAATGGAAGCAATCAAACCTGATATAATTGTGATAGGGCCATGAACTTCTGTTAAATTTTGTTTTGTGTAGTGCTTGATGAGGCACTTTATCAGAAGTGATTTTCCAACCTACAATAGAGCAATCAACTTACAAGTTTCCATGGCATATGTACCAAAAAAACATCTGAAGTATGCACAAACACACAAGCATATACAGTGCAACAACCTTCGGTGGTCCTTGAACTACGACAACATATGGAGCTGGCTCCCCAGTGGAGCGGTCAATTGTCGGAACATGAAGTCTACGCTGCTCTTTTTCAGTGTTTCTGGCTTGCAGCCTCTTTCCTTTTATGGATTTAGTGTTACCCTAAAAATCAACATAGTTTCAAAAGCTTCAGGTATTCAGTTTGTTAATCAAATTAACTAAAAACTACTTATGTATATACATAAGAAATTGTGGAACCTTAGGATTTATCTGTGTTTTATTTTCATCTGACTTGGATTTCTTCTTCGCAGCAGAAGGGCCAGATTGTGGCTTCCTGTGTGACTTGTGCGACAGATCCTTTCCACTATCCATGGTGTTTGAACAAAGAGACTCAGTTTTCTTGTCACTATTGCCACATACATAAGCTTCGTAGCAGAGCTAGGCTGTGAAGGATATGAGAACAAGCATGAATGAGAAAAAAACAATGACGTCAACTTCAGTTGTCATTGTACTTGTACCTGTTAGCTATTCAGAAATAATATGGAATTTGTTCAAACTTCAATGTATGCAAGAAACCAAGATTTTAAACGGCTAAAATGGGCTCGGAGTCATTTTGCTATACCATCATAAGATGAGCAAAGAACTTCTTTGCGTAAAACAAATGAATAATTACAAGATCTGTTGTTCTAAAGAAGAATAATAGCATTTCTAAATCCATAACAAGATCAGAGAGAACACATAAGAATCTAAAATTTGATGGCGCGCGTAATGCTAGGAACAACCACGAACTCACGAAGCTCTTAAAAAATTTATTTGAGTATTTCTTGTGGAACTTATGAGCATCTACCGCTTGCAGTTGCTTATGGAATTGCTCAACACTTTAAGCTGAAAAGTTTTGAGCTGTGTCATACACTCATACTACATTCGTCCTCCTAAGATTAGGACAAGAGGGGATGGTGCGCTTTTGAAGAAATGTAGAACTATATGGTTGATATTGAATTAGAACCACACAAATATTACCAAGCATGGTATGGGAAAAACTCATTGGTATGGACAAAGGGGGAAATGGGACAATCATTATGGGACAGAACAGAGGGAGTATTTTAGAATGTGAATATTAGGGCCTGTTTACTAACAGAGATATTTTCCAGTTTTCTATTTCTGTTTGACGTTCTCCAATTTTCTGTTTTCATTTTCGAGTTTTTCTATCTCCAATTTTTCGTTTTCATTATCTAGTTTTCCATTTTCCAACCTGAAAACACGTTCATACAATTTTTTCACCTCGTTCTATGACCAACCAAAAGATCCAAAGTAGAGTCCCAGTCCAGAACCGAACCCAGTACAACCCAAGTAGGGTATTGGGTCCCACATATAGGTAAGTCGGGACTGAAACCGGCCGATCCCGATCGATCTCAACAGTTAGTTTCATGGTTGTTACGGCGGGGTTTTGCGGCGCGGCGCCTTTGGATTGCCACACCGCCATGGCGATATGGCGCACGTCATGGCGGAATCGCGACGATAGGTCGACATATACACTGATAAATTCATAATATGTTTTACATACTAAAAAGCCTATATGTAACACTTATAGAGTTATAGTCAACACTACTAATGAACTAAATCAAGTAATAAAACATGTAATCATAGAAATAACATAATCCATAAGACCATAACCATAAGTCTAAAGTTCATCAAAACAATTATGAAATATAAAATTAAAAAAAAACTACTGAAATTTAATCATTATTTGGGGAAAAACTGAAATTTACTTTCATAATATTAAATTTTTTCTTAAAATAGTAACAGTAGTACAATACTAACTTTTCAAAAACTATTTGACTTTCTGTAAAACATTAAAAATTCATCACATTTAAATACAACATTAAATTCAAAGCATTCAACCAAATATTAAATACATTTTTTTTTGAGAAATATTAAATACAAAGTTAATATACAAGGTTGGATGATTTTAAACCCACGTACTAACTGAAGTAATAACTAAACAAATACGAATACCCACACACTAAAGTTAAAAGTCCAAGTCTAGAAAAAAATTTGAAGCAAGTAAAACTACGGACCAGGGCTGAGGGTGCGGACAATTCAAGCGACTAGTAGAGTGAGCTATTAAAACGACTAAGCCAACGACGGAAATACCTGGCGGGAAGATTGACGTGCGGCCGATTGAAGACGGAAGGGAAGAAGAGCGCAAAGACGGATTCAGCGCAGACGGAAGGGAAAAAGAGCGCAGATGGATCGGTCTCTTATTTTATTTGATGGGTTTAAAAAATTGGGTTTGGGCCTGTAATTTCTGCAGCCTGTTCAAACTACGAGGCTCTTTTAAAACTCTTCATTTTAAAAAATGATTCCGAAAACCCGAGACTGAACTGTCAGATCATTGACCAGCCCGGACAGGGACTGCTGGGTCGTTTACGTACAGGCCCGATACCCTCAGGTACTCTATTGCATCGAACACAGACCGTCGATCCATTTTCCAAATAGGTTAGGGATCGTCGGCTCATCGACCGGACTTGATCGGGATTGCTCGAACGTTGATTGGGTCGGACATGACCCGCCGGATCAATGACCAGACCGGACCGGACCAAATAGGAACCGTCGAATCGTTGACTGAACCGGACTGGAACTTACATCGGAGAGTAACCGGATCCAATATTAGACGTAAGTATGCAAATTCATTGTAGCGGCACCGCAGCATCTGCGTTTTCCAAATTTGAAAAACTATTAAAAGTCACTTCTTCAATTCATTAAGGAAAGCGGAGACATGTCATATATTTTGATTTATGTAAACGCAATTTTTTGTTTTCCTTTCTCCAGTTTTCCACCAATTTTTTGGTATACACGTTTTCTATTTGCTTTTATTGAAAAACAGGAAAATGTCTCCTACTACCTTTGTCCCATAAAACTTTGCCAAATTTGACTGGTACGGGAATTAATAAAGTAAAAATTGTGTGATTGAGGTTTGTGCAGAGGAGGGAGAATTAACTGGAAGTACAAATTCTTTAATTAAACGGGTAAGTGGCAAAGTTAGTGACCGAGGAGTAGTAAACAAGCCGTTAACTTTTCATTTTCGGTTAGAGATAAGTGGCATGTTAAGGGTGAAAGAGCATGTGCGGCGCTTGCACCAAGGGTCTCAAGTTTTTTCCTTAGTAAAATAACTGGGCAAAGGGGTGACGAGTTGCGCAAGTACTGCAGAAGCTTAACTGTAGAAATAATGATTGTAGTCCCAGTAACAAAATTCAAGCTTTTGGAAATTTATCCCACCCCAAAAATTGAAGTGTTGAAAACAGCTCGTTCTCTCACTCTACTATTGAATTAAAGAATTACTTTTGCAAACCGTGAAACTCAACATCTCTGCATAAAATGTTCTTCTGCAGGTTTTTTAGCGCAATAGTAGTAGATAATACTAAAAACTAAAATCCAGACATCTATATATCTATATATATATAAAAGCTGGACCGTATGGGATAACTGTTCCCGCCTGGCAATGATGCTTGCAGTTAATCTGCAGAATTTTGGCTATCCTCCATACGAAGGCAACACTGCCAGCGTCTTGGTTGGTCATTAAGTTACAGCTTATTACAACTCCTTAATTTAGAAAATTATTCATCGTTTAAATGAAAGAACAGATAAAGAATGAACCTCAACAACACCCTCTAAGCTTGACCTATTCACTGCTGGTAGGATAAAATTAGATATGTAGGAACAAACAAAACAAGAAGACATAATCATCAAACGGCGTCTGACCTAGGGGAAGATGAGATGTTTTTATTTTTTAGTTTTTCTATCTCCAGTTTTCTGTTTCTATTTTCTAGTTTTCTATTTTCAAATCTAAAAACATGTCCATCAATTTTTTCACCCACTTCTGTGATCATCCAGAAGACTGACACTTTACTTCACAGGTTACTAAATGTTGCTTATTATGACTCGCGTTAATAAGCGACGCATAAAATAAGCAATGTTATAAGATAATGTTTACTTCAAAAGGTTTAAAACACTGTTTGACATTAAAATGTCCAAAATAACTCTATATATATATAGATACACAAACATTCATGAACACAAATATATAATATAATATGTGGGGTCAATCACCTCGTACGTGTACCCATACTCATAACCCCTACCCTGCCCTTATACCTCGTACCCCCACCCTACACCCAATTTCACGCCCTTGACCCCTACCCCTACCCTTACCATGATCTTACACTCTACCCATACTCCCCTAAAACCCTTCATCCCCACCCATACCTACTCGTAGGGGTCGGGGTAGGGAAGGAAGGTATGGGTGGGGGTGGGGTAGTAAGGTCTAGGGGTACGGGTTGGGTGGGGTAGTGGGTGGGTTAGAGTGGTGGTTATGGGTAAGAGTGGGGGTAGTGAGTGGGGTTGGTGTTGGGATAGGATGGTGGTAGGGTGGGGGCGAGATCAGGGTGGGGCCGAGGTAGGGGAAGGGGTAGGATGGTGGTGGGGGTAGGATGGCAGTAGGGTGGGTGGGGGGTAGCGGTAGGGTGGGGCTGAGGTAGGGGCATGTGGGAAGGGGTAAGGGGTAATATACGAGGTGGGGTAGGGTAGGGGTGGGTCGGGGTGGGGTTGAGGTGGTAGGGGTGGCGGTATGGTAGGGTGGATCGGGGTGGGACCGATGTAGGGGCATGTGGTAGAGGGTGGGGGTAGGGTCATTGTAGAGAAAAGGGGTATGCGGGGTGGGGGTTGGGTGGGTAGGGTAGGGTAGGGGTAAGGGGTAAGGATGGAGGTACTAGAATAGAATCGATATCGAAGCGGGATCGGACCCACCACTAGGTGTAACCGTGTAAGTATGCAAATTCATTGCAGCGGCCTGTAGCATGTGCGTTTTCCAAATTTGGAAAAAAGAAATTATTACAAATGGGACTAAAACATGGTTAAAACTCCAAAATAGGACTTGAAGTTTTAAATTGCTTAAATGGGACTCCAGATTACAATTTTGCCCTTCTACAATTAAAATCCACATCCCCCTTCAATTCATCGAAACCCTCTCCTGCGGTGCATCGATCCCCCCTTCTGCAATTCATCGATCCCTCTACCCCTTCTGCAATTCATCGATCGATCTTCCCTTCCGCACATCCCTTCCTCTCATGGAAAGCAACTTCGCCATCGCTATTGCCACGCACCGCAGCTCCGTCATCGACCATAGGTATCCTCCCCCCTTTCTCCTCCTCCTCCTCCTCCTCCTCCTCCTCCTCCTTCTCTATTCCATCTCAAATTTTTGGTCCTATGTTCTCTTCTTCTTTAGATTTTTTGGATTTGAATTTTATTTATTAATTTAGATTTTTTGGATTTAAGTTGTATTTATTAAGTACATAAAATGCCACTCGTATAATTTGAGAATGTCAAAATTGTTGGTTATTTGGAGAAAAAAATGTCATGTTTGTGGCATTACATTTACTTCTTTGAAACTATCATGAAAGTGATTGTACAAACCTCCATGAGGAATGCCACTTCATATGCGAGAATGTCACTTAATATGCATAATGACACAATAATGACAATTTTGTATAGAAATATGACATTCTCAATATGATATTTTCAAATATTGTAATGACATAAATGTGACATTTTTTAAATATACCTAATGATTATGACATTCTCTCTTTCAAAAGTAACATTTTCTGGAAACATCAGTCAAGGCATTTTGAGAATCAGAGTAATCAAAATTGATAACAAGAAATTCAAGTGTAGATATAACTTCATTTGAAACTTTCAAAAATCAAAAAATTAGAAAAAATCTGATTGATAAAATAAAAAAAGCAGAGAACTAGGAAGAAGAAGAAGAAAAAGAAGAAGAAGAAGAAGAAGAAGAAGAAGAAGAGATTACCTACCTGGTCGCCGATGAGTGCAGGGTTGGTAGCCGATGATGCAGGCTACAACACATGGCGCTGCGGTGCTCTGAAGGTATCGATGGAGGTTGATGTGCATCGCTGGTGTGCATCGCTGGTGTGCATCGCTTTTTAACTAAGGGTAGTTTTGTCAGATTACCTCTTTTTAGTCCTATTTTTGTTAAATAAAACATAGTAGTCCTATTTTTGCAATTCTACCTTGATTTAGTCCTATTTAGGTGAATCTCTCTTTGGAAAACTAGTAAAAGTCACTTCTCCAAATCATTAAGGAAAAGAGAGACATGTCTCATTTTTTTGGTTTTGGAAAACGGTTTGGTAAACACGTTTTTCTGTTTTCCTTTCTCCAGTTTTCCAGCAATTTTCTTTGGTAAACGCGTTTCGTATTTTTTGTTTTCTAGTTTTCCAATTTTCTGGAAAACTAGAACATATCTCTGTTAGTAAACAGGCAATGAGTTTCTACCACTCTAGAAAATAAAATGCAGGACTCCATGTAGTACACACATGCACATAATTGAATTAAAATAATATTTAATTAAATTTGTAAATATGGACACATGCATTGGCGAACGCGAGCAATCCATCAATACAATTGAACTAATGGACATAACTATTAATTTATTAGAGTGTAACTGAATTAATGAGCAATGATGTGATGTGAGGTTTCAAGACTTTTTACGGGTGTGTATATCCGTCTTGGTTGTGCTGGTACGTAACAAAGACAATTCGAGCAAGGTTCACAATGCGCCAGAGAATATCTCCTGAAACGGGTGTTGGCTTAAGAATTCCTTCATTCAAATCTTTCAATGCATGTTTGGCCATCTTTTGGAATGTCTCTTTTGCCTCTTCCAGAGATACATGATATTCACTCATGTAACATTCGATACCTGTTGTAACTTGTCCTCTCTCTTTCTCAACCTATGACATAAAATGAGAAGCAATTATTATTTACTTGATTTTCTCATAATAAAAATACATATAATTTTACACTAAGATATACATTGAATTACATACTAGCTACGAGAGTAGTGTCTTACATCAAAGGTACCTATATCGTCAATAATCCTGCACAAAGTTACGCTTGCCTCAAGAATTTTTGGATTTTCGCTAAGCTAGTCAAATACCTTTTCATCAGCCAGCTTCACACCATAGCATGAAATTATGGCAAGCAAATAATAAGTGCAACTAACGAATGCATTTCTCAAGTATTCGGCAAATATAGGCTTATGTCCTTCAATGAACCAATTTGCTTCAATCAAGTAACATTTGACAAGCTCCTTCATCTAATATAATAAAAAACAGCTTTATTTCTCTTTAGTTGAACAAAGTAATAACTTTAAAAAGAAAGATAATTTCCCGAATATTATTCAAATTACTGTATGGATGAAGTAACTATAATAGT